GTAAAGACATTGAATGCCGCCAACAGGGGAATCCCCCACTACAGGACTATACTAGTATTGTGGCTAGTTGCTTGCCAGCATGTTCTCGTACTTACGTGGCACATACATTGTACATGATTGTACATGTGCACATATTGCCCACTCTCACTGAGCTAGACAAACGGGCACGCACTACATGCCGACCCACTGTAAGGAGTGCGCTGTTACACTGCTCCTGTTGCTTTAGTGTACAGACCTTTTTAAACCATGTCCAGCAGCACATACAAAGTAGAAATGGAAGAATCACCAATCACTACTGCTTGAGGGGAGGGGAGGGGGCGGGAAATGGAAAGAGTTGATAGTAGTGAAGGTCATGTTCGACACTGGATCCACACTGGATCCGTACTATTGATCTCCAGCTGACTACCATGTCCAGTGCATACACACAATGTGACATGCTTACACACACCTCTTCCATCTTACACCTTATTTCTCTTGCTATTGGGAAGACAGTGGCGTTTGGATTTGCGAAATAAAACAAAGGTCATCATCAACCTAAAGAAACAAGGATGAATTTCAGCGACACTTGAATATCTATTCTCACAGACCCACAATCCCACAACAAGTGTAACGCATTGTTCTCGAATTCATACCGCTAGGTCTCGAGTTCCAAAAATGGCATCAGTGTCGCCTACAAGCATTGAGTTATGTTGACCTAATAGAATGCTATCATCAAACTATAATTATACTATACTCGTAAATGCAACAACCCATGCAACTGAGCTTACTCATTGTCGGTGGTACGGTAGTTTCCTGAACGACTGCTGAGCTCACGGCACACATCGTGGAGAGAATGACCACCAGGAGATGAAGATATGAACACCATATGCGAGCCATGGTGGCCAAACTCCTCCCTAAGCTAACAGTCAGAAATTCTTCAGAGTATTGCGGTAACGGTTTCACAAGAACTTCTTCTTGTGAGTTGGCCTGTTTGTAGGGCTCTATAAAACCTCTAGACCTGCGCTGTGCCTAGGGAATACTGGCAATCAAGGCAGCTAAAAAGCACTCTTTATACTACATGGCTTAATGTCTTCACTGTCTTTAGTCTACACGTCTGAGCATATGGAGAATGTACAGACGTCATGCGCCTCGTGCAGCAGCAGCACTGCAGGGTCAGTACCTTTTTCCTGTCATGGAACAGACAGACTAGCGTTTCTCAACTACTTCTCACGTACCGAAGCGCATTGCGATCTCGCACGCCTCTGTAGCGTGCGTTGCCTGGGTAGTCGTACGGGCCGGCGCTGGTGCGGCGGGCCGTTGACGCATCACTGGCCACTGGTCTAGGCAAGTACATACATGTACATGTAGACCGCATGTTCGGCATACCGGACCCGATCCTCGTTAATCCTCGTAGATCTACTGCCTACGTTTTTCCTGTTCATGTCGGTGATAGACAGTGGCCAGTGGTGCAGTGCGGTTCGAGGCAGCATGAGAGTTAAACACCCTTACATCAATGGGTGTGCGCTCGAAACGACTGCCCCACAATCCACTGACACCGGTATCGAGACGTGCCTGCTCCTTGGTGATTGTGTGCGATAGCGAAGCCGCTCTCCAGTTAATGCTTGTAGTTACGTGCACCCTGCTGCTGTGTGCGGCCCACTCAGTTGCTGTGTGAAGTGTGCGTCCAAGATCGAGTTGTTTCTGTCGGTTGCTTTCTTGGCTTTAGAATTTTCATGCTAGGCGCAGTGAGGTTTCCCCTTCATCTCTCCTTTATCTCTTTCTATCTTCACACTGAATCTCACTTTGTAGAAAATTATGTTCTGTTGCCCGTACAAGAGGCCGATTCGATTTTTTTAACTCAGTTGTTGTCAGTGTCCTTTTGTACTTTTTTCACTGCTTCTGCGGTCGCTGACCTACAATGTAGCCGCTGTCCATATCTATTCACGTGTTGAGAATGTAAACTTAATCAAAAAGTCGTCTCGCTCTTTTGGTACGAGTGTTTTCAGTGATGGTTTCATCTTTTAACACGGTATTTAAATAACGAAAAAGAAAACCTGTTCAGCTCTACGTTCACGTAGAGAAATGACGTGGAATGTGTACTGTGTCTGGTCATTACTGAGAACCAAGATGGATGTCAAGATTCAGGATAATCGAGGTGAGAGCCAGTGGTATAGGGGAACAGTAATACAACGTAAGATGCAGGACAGAAGGGTCCTGACGGTGTGGTCCTGACGGTGTGGTCCTTGTAAAGTGTGCAAATGGTGACCGGGAGGAACTTCTCAACTTGGCGAAGGAAGACTGGAAGGCAGGTGACAGCAGCAATTACACCAGGCTAATGTTGGAATCAGATTACACCAGGCTAGTGTTGGAATCAGCATTCTCAGAGTCTGAGGTTAAACATGTCTTAAAATCGATGGTTTGTACCAAGTCCGACGGACCAGACGGTATGCCCCTGCAAGTGCTATGTCATCTGATAGGCAAGGCCATCTCCGAGCTTTGTCGCATTATTAACCTCTCCTGGACCACTGGCTATTGTCCAAGAGCTTGAAAAACCAGCCGACTTGTCCCTGTACCCAAGCCCAAGCCCAAGCCAGGTGCATTCAGACCTATCAGCCTAACAGATGCTCTCGCTCGAGTTACGGACCGACTGGTGACGAGGCGCTTGACGCATTTCCTGGAGCAATTTGAATTTATCCCCGGCGAACAAGCTGGTTTCCGTAGAGCAACACGACATCTTGATGGCTAGGCTCGGATCTCTAGATCCACCAGCTCAATTGACTTGGTGGATCAATTCCGTGGACGAATCGTAGACACGAAGTGGGGTACAACAGTCAGCGGTAAGAGAACAGTGCATCGTGGCGTGCCACAAGGGACGTCAATCTCGCCCATGCTGTGCCTAGGGACTGTGTACACTGCTTCGATTTTTGACAACCTATATCTTCCAAGTCTATCGCAACATCAGGTAGACGTCATGCCGTTCATGTACGCAGATGACATCGCCCTCGCTGTGTCAAGCAAGAATGTGTCGACTATGCAATCCACTATGCAGGAATTGCTGGACCACGTCTCTGCATTCTGTCGCTGTAGCTGCATTACACCTTAAAACCCGTCAAAGTCAGTACAAGTTGGTATTTCAACGTCTTACCGAGTTCCACACTTGTCTTTGCACCAGTTCCTCAACAACGTTGCAATACCATCAGCTTCCTCGACCCGCTACAGGGGATCGTTGTGAGTGCCAACATGAACTTTTCTGAGCAATGTCTAGCTGCCCGCCAACGCATCCTACAGCGTCTGCGAGTCATCCAGGCCACGACTGGTCGGGAGTGGGGCTTGGACCAACAATCAGCATGCACTATCATCTGGGTTATAATATGGCGCGGCTGCATACTATGGCCTCACAACGAACAGTGGAAAACGACTGCTGGAGACAGCTTACAACCAGTACCTGCGCGTCGCTACAGGATGTGTGCCTTCTACAACAGTCACCACTGACCAACCTCCACGAGGTTGCAGGTGCTCCGTCCCTACATACAAAGATCTCACACGCCAGGCTGGGAATTTGGCCAATATCGCTCACCGTCACAACACCCCAACCCCTGCTCGCACCTTCTCTCCACTCAGGTTCCTCAACACATACGCCATGACAAGACCACTTGGCAACAGTTAGCCCAGGAGACTTTGCCTACTCAGCAATTTCTCCCGCTGCCTTCGCGACCACCGCCATGGGCAAAGGTGGAGAACTTGACGATCCCCATCACTGACTGCAGCAGAGATGATCCCCCGCATGTCCGGTTGTCTGCAGCCCTGGAGTGCCTGGACAAAGTTTCCTCTCTTTGCGCTCAATCTCAGTCATATGAAGTCAGGACAGATGGTAGTGTCACTGATGAGGGTACAGGAGGAAGTGGCTATCTTGTCATCAAAGTCACTGATGGCCAACGCTCTGAAGTGTGCAGTGGAAGCGATCCTGCTGGCGTGGTAGCAACTTCCTTCACCGCCGAGGTAACTGCTGCCGTAGCCGGTCTCTCTGCGGCAGGAGATCTACTTACGGCTGGTCTCACCGTCAACCCAGATGATCAACCCTCGCTGCCAGACCTCATCCTCGTTACGGACAGTCGTTCGTTGACTGATTCTGTTGCCGGCGATCCGTACCGTATGAGCCCAGATACGATTCCTGTGTTTGAGGCCATCAAGAGTATTAGCCAGCTTGTTAGCAGCATCCACCTTGTTTGGGTTAGCAGTCACTGTGGCTTATTCCTCAACGACAAAGTAGATCGCCTGGTTGCAGCGGGTACCCAGGTCCCCCAGCGTCACGTCCGTTTTCCAGTGCAAGCCACCTAGACTGCAGTCCGCAAGGCAACACGGTACCCCGCGCCACCACTGCTCGACACCAAGACGCTCGGCGACCTTCGGACACGGAAAGCGTCCTGCAAGCTGAACCAGCTGATGACCGGCAACTGTAGTCTTCTGAATGGCTGCCTCCACCGCATTGGAGCTGGAGACTCGCCTCACTGTGTCGTCTGCCCTGGCGTCGTCGAGGATGCAACGCACTTCCTTTTCGACTGTCCAGCAAGAGCACAAAGCTGTCACTCTGCAGCTCTTCAGTCGTCTTCATCCGTCAGTCAAGCTGTAGCCGACTCTCCCTTAGGCCTACAATATTGCGCGATTCTTGCAGTTGAAGAAACTGTTATGAAGTTTCGAACACAGACTTGAAACACACAATACATTGTACAATCATGATGAATTGCCACTGTTATGTGAACTCTCATTACACCGGTAATATGTGGTAGACTCTGATGATTACTCTTTGAAGTATGAAACCGATCAGCCAACTCACTGCAAATGACTTTTGTGAATTGAAAATGAGTGCTTTGTGTGGGAGGAGTCTACCTCCCTCAAAACCCTCCACATACGTGACATTATCACTGACATAATTATACAAATTGCAATTTCAAGTTTGGACTTCGCGGAGAAAGTTTTAGAAAATTAGAGGCCACATGCCACGTACTGCTCTTTTCTCTCCGAAACTCAACACTTGCAAGCCAGATATGAAAGAAAGGAAGAAAAAAATCATCAGTCTCACCACCGGGACTCGAACCAGTACGTGGCATGTGGCCTCTAATTTCCTATAATTATACGAGGTGATTTGTAAAAAATTTACATGGCACTGCAGGAAATGCGGCATGAACGTATGTTGGGTGTTGACGGCGGAGCACCCATTGAGGGTGGTCTGCAGTCTTCTTCCAACACAGAAGTACATGTATATGAATCAGGTGAAGGAGTCACTGCACTTGTCTTGGAGAGTATGGAAGCCCCGACATTGTCAGTATGTGCCGGTGAAATGCACTGTGGCCCAGATGCACGAAGGCACCCTGTCGTGGGACGGCTGGCGCGCATCATGGATGGTATCTTCGCTTAGTGTGGTTATTTCACGCATGAGGATGCGCTGCAAGTTGAAAGAAATGGAGCAGCAAGATAAGGTCTGCGTGCTCATGCTCTACAATGCCGGCAGGCGGTCAAAGATATCCTACCGTTTTGAACCGCAGTTGACGACGTACAGAAACCAATACGTTGGGCAACCTGCAAAACCAGTCTGCTTTCTCTGCATGTGACTTGCTTCAGATGTATCTTGATTTCCCATTGCAAGCTTATTGACACATTTAGGTCATATTTGTTGATGTTAGACCCTATTTTACCGACTTGTAAAATTGTGTACACACTTTTTCTGGGTGAAAAAATGCATGCAAAGCAACCCCACACTGTGTCTCTCATGTTTGTGGTATTCGATCAAGAAGTCCATACGTGGATAGAGGACATACATAGTGACAGAATGAGACCATGCACACTTCAAAACTCGCCAGGGTAACGAAATGATAGCCTTTTTTACTTTCTTCACTAGTTTGAGGGAAAGAGACAAACGGGAAAAGTCTGAAGAAAAAACTGACTGTCACCACCAGGACTCGAACCAGGGACCCTCGCTTGTAGCTAGCGATGCTCTAACCACTGAGCTATGGTGTAGTCGTCATCCCAGCATAGACTGTTCAACATTTTCTTCAGACTTCGTAACTCACACTTCCTGTGAATCCACACAGGCGGGTGGGACGCAGCCCTCACTGTACCCACACACTTCACGTGCACTCTAGCACGCGGGGAGCCCCAAGTCAAAAAATCTTCACTAGTTTGAGGGAAAGAGACAAACGGGAAAAGTCTGAAGAAAAAATTGACTGTCACCATCAGGACTCGAACCAGGGACCCTCGCTTGTAGCTAGCAATGCTCTAACCACTGAGCTATGGTGTAGTCGTCATCCCAGCATAGACTGTTCAACATTTTCTTCAGACTTCGTTACTCACACTTCCTGTGAATCATTTTTTTTTTTACTTTCATGTAAAATTATTACAAATCACCTCGTACATGTACATGATTGTACTAGTAGGCATTATTAGTCTAGCATGACGTCATAATAATTATTATCTCAGTGTTTTCCGAAGAATACAGAGATAGGAAATTTGAGGCCACATGCCACGTAATGCTCTTTTCTCTCCGAAACTCAACACTTGCAAGCCAGATATGAAAGAAAGAAAAAATCATCAGTCACACCACCGGGACTCGAACCAGGGACCTTGCTATTCGCGAGCAATGCTCTAACCAACTGAGCTACAGTATGACTCTTATCCACAGTGATGGCAAATCTATCCTTCTTCGATCAATCAATATCTGGCTTGCATCATACTGGCAACTCACACCAATCAAGAGGGCCCTCGGCCATTCGCTTGATATCATGGGGAGCGCATCAAACTATGTCCACTGCGAGCAAATACAAATTGCAATTTCAAATTTGGACTTCACGGAGAATTTTCAAAGTGTTAGCAAATTTGAGGCCACATGCCACGTAATGCTCTTTTCTCTCCGAAACTCAACACTTGCAAGCCAGATATGAAAGAAAGAAAAAATCATCAGTCACACCACCGGGACTCATCGAAGAAGGATAGATTTGCCATCACTGTGGATAAGAGTCATACTGTAGCTCAGTTGGTTAGAGCATTGCTCGCGAATAGCAAGGTCCCTGGTTCGAGTCCCGGTGGTGTGACTGATGATTTTTTCTTTCTTTCATATCTGGCTTGCAAGTGTTGAGTTTCGGAGAGAAAAGAGCATTACGTGGCATGTGGCCTCAAATTTGCTAACACTTTGAAAATTCTCCGTGAAGTCCAAATTTGAAATTGCAATTTGTATTTGCTCGCAGTGGACATAGTTTGATGCGCTCCCCATGATATCAAGCGAATGGCCGAGGGCCCTCTTGACTGGTGTGAGTTGCCAGTATGATGCAAGCCAGATATGAATTGATCGAAGAAGGATAGATTTGCCATCACTGTGGATAAGAGTCATACTGTAGCTCAGTTGGTTAGAGCATTGCTCGCGAATAGCAAGGTCCCTGGTTCGAGTCCCGGTACAGAGATAGAGAAAAAAAAGTGTGTACTGCAAATCCCCGGCCCGGGCGCGCGGGCCCTTGCCTTGGCCTTGCACTTGGCACTTCTCTTCCACATTTCGGGATAAGGGGCTGTGCGAACAGTTCCGCGCATCGATCCGGATTCCCGGGCGCCCGCCACGCCGGGATTCGTGCACGGTGGATCTACGGGGTACGATGTACGATACCACAATCTCCCTGCCCGGACCTCCCGCCAGCGCTAGCGTTTGCGCGCTCATCACGACATCAACCCCGGGCTTGCGAACTCGCATGCTGTAACATTTTTTTTTACATGCCACATGAATTAATTTTTATGAAAATTAATGGGAAGAAGGAGAAGGTCATAAGAAGCAGAAGAAGAAAGCGCTCTGCTATGCTACTGTAGCTGTATCATTTTTCCTTGACGTGGTTCAAAGTAGTTAGTTTGGAAAGGGCAGGATTTTGCCGAATCAGCTGCCACAGCATGGATAGCTTGCCAGCAGACTCCGGATCCCGAGCGGCGGGAGCTGCAGTAAGAACTAATGATAGTGATTGTCATACTGCTGCTCGTCAATGATCTTTCATCCATTTGAAAGCAGCTCGTTGAGAACTACCGTATTATCACTTGTAAATGTACAGTACAGTCGTCCCTCTCTAATCCAGCACTTAATCCAGCACCCTCGATAAACTAGCACAATTTTCAGTAGCCAAAATGTCCTCTTCATGCACATTGCAGCAGTAAATCAGATTTGTTAATCCAGCACCCTCCCAGCAGATTTTCTGTGGCACAAATAGTGCCGGATTAGAGAGGGACCACTGTACTTTTATTTTTTCAAAGGTGGTCAGACCTGTACTACTATGAGACTGTACTAGTATTGGAGACGTACTTTTATTGATTCTGGAAAGATTGATTGCCTGGGTTGGGTGGTAAACAACTCGTGACCATGATAGTGTGACGCTGTAAATACGTCCAACCATGGCAAGAAACTGTGCAGCAAGACACAAAGGTGATGAACGGGTAATAAGAACGAAGTAAGGTGGACCCTGGTACCTGCACCCCAGTAAAGCCCATCACATCATTCCGGCATGTACTATTATTAGAGACGTGTACTTCTATAATTTTAGACTCGCACTCAACATGTACTACAATTGGAGACGTACTACAGTGCATTTCAAAACTATAGACGCGTAGGGTTTTTGAAATATTTCAAATTTGGCTGGAACTTTTTGAGAATAGATTTCGGAATATTGCTCAGGATCGCTCCACAATTACTCTCATGTAGTTTCTAAAGGATTGGATAACAGACGCCCAATTTGGAAAAAATTATGCACAAAGTGACCACAGATTTTATGTGGTATAGATGCTGGCATAACGGTTTTTGCCTAGGTACGCGTCTATAGTTTTGAAATGGACTGTAGTATTGGGGCGTGCACGTTTATTGGGGAAAATACGGTAATTTGTTTGGTTCCAAGGGCTTCGTAATTCACTGTTAGGTTTTGTCCCAGATAGTGTCTCCGCTGTGAGATTTTTATGAATGCGTGTCAGTGTGTTATCATCTGATCCTGATTGTACCCGTTTATCCCTACTCGTATGAATTAAATTGTTCTTGCCGTGAGAGGAGCCTGAACGAGGGAGGGCCTCTATGTTGCATGTTCTGCAGTTATTTTGTTTGTTGTTATAGGACTAAAGTAAATCCACCTCCACCAATATAACAAGGGTCCGACCAATGTCCTGTTTGCAACTCTGCACCGAATCCTTCACCATGCACTAATACTAGTAATAGCATCACTGTGGTGATGCCTGAAGTTACTTAGTAGTTGGTCACCTTACACTGTATGTGGCTGACTACTGACCAGTCTGACCAGTTTGACCAGTACATGTATACTTGCACTGTATTTGGCTGACCAGTCTGACCAGTTTGACCAGTACATGTATACTTACACTGTATTTGGCTGACCAGTCTGACCAGTACATGTACCGTAAAGTACCGTTGATCCCCCCCCCCCCCCCCCACGCCATGTCGCTTCCCAGCTGGGTTTTCGGCAGGGGGCGGGAATTAGATCAAGGCTGTCAAGTGCAGTACGATGTACAACAACGTAGAAGTTCAGACTCGATTTGCTGGATTGTGCACATTTTCATCCTGGATTGGCAAATATTGTGTACAGCAGTGCATGCGTCGGTTCAACATCGTATTTCGTTGTATACGCCGAAGTCGCTTCACCGGTAGAAAATCGACAGGGGGCGGGAATTAGAGAGGGGGCGGATCAACGGTACTTTACGGTATACTTGCACTGTATGTGGCTGACCACTGACCAGACTGACCAGTACATGTATACTTGCACTGTATGTGGCTGACCACTGACCAGTCTGACCAGTACATGTATACTTGCACTGTATGTGGCTGACCACTGACCAGACTGACCAGTACATGTATACTTGCACTGTATGTGGCTGACCACTGACCAGACTGACCAGTACATGTATACAGTGACTCATTTGATTGGACACTGCTGTTGTAGCATTAGAGTACGTCAGTGCTGCCAACCAACTGGGTCTGTTTGTGTACTTTGACTTATGATTTTCCGTATTTTGCTGGGTTTTGCGTATTGCCAATGTACGGTTGTGTAGCGACCTACTCACTGAGTATTACGTCATTCTACAAACGCATGCGCAAGAAAATAAATCATTCTCTTTGGTCACAACTTCTTCGTTGTCCGGTTGGCCAAAGTAGCCGTCGTCTAGGGCCCGACGTAAAACCCTAAATTGGTGACCCCGACGCTGCGCTCTTCGGAGTTTTGAGCATGCCATCCCTGAGCTCGGCCCGCCGCAGTTTCCTGCTCGCCTCAACTCTCGGGATCCCGTCAATCGCCGGCTGTTGACGTAAAACTTGAGCCTCACCACCACTCGTCACTGGATCCGCCTCGGAGCTGCTGTGGCCCCTGCCACCCTCCCGGCCCACCTGGATACCCCGCTATCCTGCCACGGCACATCGTCCAGTCGTCTTCGTCTTCGTCCATATTCGTCCTGGCCTCAAGCTGGAAATTGGCCACCTCCACCCGTCGTACCAGCTCACTCACTGTGCACGCACGCAGGCACACGCCCGGCACCGGACCCCATGGAGCTGCGCTCGCCTCCATCTGTCCCCGCCTCAGTCGGCACGCCTCGCCCCAGTGCAGCGCTCCTGCTGGTATCCCGCCAAGTCTGCAACATGCAGCCGCCTCTGACATGATAACACTCCTCTGTCACGCGTACATTTCCTCTTTTCTTTCTTTCTGCCTCTGACACGATAACACTCCTCTGTCATGCGTACGTTTCCTCTTTTCTTTCTTTCTGCCTCTGACATGCTCTCCACCTCTGTCACGTTAACACACCTCTGACACGTTAACCCGCCTCTGTCATGCATCTCTCTCATTTCCGCTTTCTGCACTGTTTTTGATTTTGTTTCGGCCTTTGTTGCCACGTCACAAACAAATTTCATACACGCAGCGCTCTCGCTTGTACATATGTATCATATTATTATATTTTTGCCTTTCCGCCTTGTACATGCTGCGCTTTCCTTTCTCTTCTCTTTCTTGTTTCTTGTTTATCGTGCTTCGCTCCTCTCGACCTCACCACTGGCGGGGGAGTACTGTAGCGACCTACTCGCTGAGTATTACGTCATTCTACAAACGCATGCGCAAGAAATAAAATCATTCTCTTTGGTCACAACTTCTTCGTTGTCCGGTTGGCCAAAGTAGCCGTCGTCTAGGGCCCGACGTAAAACCCTAAAGTTGTGTGCGTTGCTTCTGTTGTGTTTTGTCGGCACTCGCATGGTTGTCGGTGGTTGGATTTTGCTAGTGCACAACATGTGGGACTTGTACCAGGACATGATATATCATATTTGTGCTACATGTAATCGAAGAGTGGCATGCCCTCGCTTTGGCACAGGGATATCCATCGCTCAGCTTGCCCTTGCCATGCTTCTACATACATATCTGTAGCTGATCGATCCTCTTCGACTTTTCTGTACCATCTTGCTCGCGAAGATTTTCCATACAAATACGGAAAAATCGTCAGCACTGGTATGTGTACGTGTGTTGTCTGAGATAACATTGATGGACTGATCGAGGAGCGTTAGGAATACTGTCAGTCTTCTCTCTGCCCCCCCCCCCCCGTCCCTCTCACTCACTCTCTCACTCGGTCTCTCTCTGTGTGTCTCTCTCGTTCTCTCTCTCTCTCTCTCTCTCGTTCTCTCTCTCTCTCGTTCTCTCTCTCTCTCTCTCTCTCTCTCTCTCTCTCTCTCTCTCTCTCTCTCTCTCTCTCTCTCTCTCTCTCTCTCTCTCTCTCTCTCTCTCTGTTCCTACCTCTTATGTCCGTCAAATCAGAATAGTCCGGCTCGTCTCAGTATTGGAGAAATTGAGTACGACCACTCCCAGATCGGTGATGGTGGCTCTGTTGGTGCAGTCACTGGAATTGAGAATTTCGAGGCTGAGTTTGAGAGAAAGCGTCTCAGATTAGCGGAGGTGAGTGCGACACACTGGTGGGTTCTTGATTATTCATCTATGAGCTTCATTGTCCGGATGAATGGCGATATGACGTCAATGTAGTTGGCGTGCAAAGCACGGGTCCACGGAGGCCTTCTAGATGCAGGAATGTCATGAGCAGCGTGATGAGCAGACTGAACGCAGTGATGAGCAGACATGAACACCGTGTACTGTAAGACATGTATATATAACGAGGAAGCAAATCTAACGTTTTAACGGATGACATTTCTTCGTTATAATAAGATCCGTTGAGGCCGTACTGCTTCATATAATGCTGTGTGTGGATATGGCAGAATACTGCAAGATCGTTAACATAATAATTATCTTCTCGTTAACCTATGAATTTTGGACAATCGTTAAATTTGCGACTCGTTATTGTAACATGTCTTACAGTATTGTTCTTTCGTCAGTTTGCGGCGTACACTTGCCGGTGCACAGTTGAGGAATGATGTCATGGCACAATGTTTTTAAATCATCGCTGCATTTCAATTTTTGATCATGGAGAGTTTCACCTGTACAATAATTATAGTTGTATTTGCAGGATGGTGGATCGGCAGAAGCAGTTTTTGATTGGTCCGATCATACCCAGCTCTTTCCTACTTTGTGCATGATAGGAAAGATATGCACATGTCCATACCCAGCTCTTTCCTACTTTGTGTATGATAGGAAAGATAGTCACATGGCCTCCTCAGTAGTAACACACACGTCGGTGGCCAAAACGTTGGCCCAGCCATGGCCGGACCAACCGAATCGGTTCCGCCGGGCCTGATATTATAATGTCTGCGTGATTGTGCCGGTGTGCGCACTCTCGTACATGTGTGTGTGTGTGTGTGTGTCTCTCTCTCTCTCTCTCTCTCTCTCTCTCTCTCTCTCTCTCTCTCTCTCTCTCTCTCTCTCTCTCTCTCTCTCACACACATACTCTCTCTCTCTCTCACTCTCTCGTTCTCTCTACCTTTCCACTATCAATTAGGTCGAGGAGGATGCCCGACAAATACGCCTGGATCTAGCAGCTAAAGATGATGAGATTCGATTGCTGCGTGAAGAACTTGGCCTCACACCACTGGCACAGATCAAACAAGCAGTGACATCATCAGTACCCTATCAGAAAACCATGGAGATTGGCGATCGGGTCGCCAGCTCGGAAGCGTAAGTGCAATGTGTGTGTGTGTGTGTGTGCACGTGTATGTATTATGTGCGTGCGTGTGTCTGCGTGTGTGTGTCCATATGGTGTAGTGATATCAAGAGTACATACCCCCCCCCCCCCAGAGTGTGCAACTTGACTATGGGTGCTGTCCCGACAGAATTTCAAGTTGACGTCATTTTTATGATGCAATGCGCACTGTACACGGATTATCAGACGAATCCGGAACATGTGGTTGACCAAAGCCGATCTGATCCTGTACAAAGAAAAACGTGTGATGCGCTGACACCCGTACACATGTTGTAAATCAAGGAGCATTGCGTCATAAATAATGACGTCAACTTGAAATTCTGTCGGGACGGCAGGGTACTGTAATTTCACAAATCTTCGGTGTGCTTTTATTTTCGGTACTTTCGGTGCATCTGTTTCATACCTAAAATTTCAATACACCAAAAAAACACTATCACACATAATCCAATAGGGAATTGCTCCTCTGTACCTAAAATTTCTGTTCACCTAACCTGGCCTTTTGCCCTCATACCGAAAATATTGAGCACCGAATATTTCTGAAATTAGAGTATGTGGGTCCTGGGAGTTGCACACTCTGGAGGGTTATGTACTCTTGGTGATACAGTAAACACCTGTAACTAAAGACCACCGTGACTAGCGACCAGCCTGGTACTACAGACCACCGTGACTAGCGACCAGCCTGGTACTAAAGACCACCGTGACTAGCGACCAGCCTGGTACTACAGACCACCGTGACTAGCGACCAGCCTGGTACTACAGACCACCGTGACTAGCGACCAGCCTGGTACTACAGACCACCGTGACTAGCGACCAGCCTGGTACTACAGACCACCGTGACTAGCGACCAGCCTGGTACTACAGACCACCGTGACTAGCGACCAGCCTGGTACTACAGACCACCGTGACTAGCGACCAGCCTGGTACTACAGACCACCGTGACTAGCGACCAGCCTGGTACTACAGACCACCGTGACTAGCGACCAGCCTGGTACTACAGACCACCGTGACTAGCGACCAGCCTGGTACTACAGACCACCGTGACTAGCGACCAGCCTGGTACTACAGACCACCGTGACTAGCGACCAGCCTGGTTCTACCGACCACTTCGCCAGGCACGGACGATCTCACATTCAAAATTCACTGTGACTAGCGACTACCTGCTGAACGCGACCAGCGACCGCCTTTTCTTGTCCCAAAGACGATTTTCGACCCGTAACTAGCGACCGCGATGTAGGAAATCAAGTGTTGCTCGAAGCTCCTTTTTGAAATTTTGATGATTTTCCGTGGTCCTGAAACGAATCTTTCGATACCACAGCTGAAGAAATGAATGCAGGTCATTTTGACTGTGGAGTCGGTGTGGACTGCACTGCACTTGTCAGAATTTCAAGCGCTGTCAAGAATAAACATGATAGGAAACGTCTTGGAGAGCGCATCGAAAGCGCTCTCTGATCGATGTTACTACTAGGAGGAGAAACGAAGACAGAGCGGCTCTGACACCCCAGTCATACAGACGAATCGACGATGGCATCAAGGAATCCAGAAACAAAGCAGCACCGCAAGGTCCTGATGCTGAAGGATCGCGTTCAAGCAATCGAGAAGTCGCAACAACGACAGTCGGTACGATTGATCGCATGAACAAATTTGAAGCCCAGCGCAAAACGAAACTTCCACAGGGAACGTTTGACTCCTGGCTTCAGAAGTAGGAGCTGAATTTGATGTCCGCAAAAAAATTAATCTTCTCTCTCTCTCTCTCTCTCTCTCTCTCTCTCTGTCTCTCTCCATCTATCCATCTTTCTGTCCAAGTGTTGTTTGACCTGAAATAAGAATGGCATTGCGCAAGTCTTGGGGAATTGTATTAGCTGCATTTTGATATACATATCAAATAATGGGATCCATATATGGCGGCGCGGTGCAAACCTCTAACTAAAGACCACCTGCTACTAAAGACCGCTTTTGCTGGCACCAAGGGGTGGTCGTTAGTCGCAGGTTTTACTGTATATGCAGTCGATTTCCAATCGAGAGATTGCGGGTTCAATTCTCGACGATTATGGCCACACGCGTCTTTCTTCTCTTTCTCATTCTCCTACAGTCCGTTTCAAAAAGATTTGCAATCCTGGCGATCGCCCGCGGAGTTTGGCGTCTTACCGTATGAGCACTCGAGCGCTGCCTGGAAAAACTCACTGTGAACTTGAAGAAATATTCCGCGCGAAAGCAGGAAAAATGACAACTCACTCACGATCAGGGAGTCGTAAAATACGATTCCCTGCTCACGATGATACAGTCATGTACGTCTGGTTTACAACAAACGAGTCTTCCTCGTATCGATAATGGAGTCAGAGAGGACATGTCGAAACGAAAGTGTTGTAAATGTTGACGAGCGGCATGGGTCCCAATTCGTTTTGTGACCAAATAGTTTCTTTGAGCTGCGATGCAATTTACTCACCGTGTGACGAAAACGACATCGACACGGACTCATTCCCAAGGCCATGACTTGGCAAAGCTATCCGTGTGACTTCGACGACATTTTGAGAAAAGCAGACGCTTGTGAACGCTGATAGAAGACGGCGTTGACTGCTAAATTCAAATAAATTGGCGATCTTGAAATACTAGAATAAATCTCAAAAAGCTACATATACAGCGCGATGAAGTCCATATTCACTCACACCATTGCAGTGTTGTGGGTGTGTTCACATGGCGTGAGCCAGTCAAGTGTCAGTCAGTTCGGCAGGAAGCGCGAGCTCCAACAACAAGTCATTTTGGTGCAGCCATCTTCTTTTCTTGTCCCAGCTTGATCACCAAAACAATGAAGAAGAAAAAAGTTTGACTTGAGGATAGGTTGGGATTTGAACTCACAACTTCATGGTCAGCAGACAGCATTCATAACCACAAGGCCAAAAAGGAAAGGATAAATCGTGGGTTTTGATAAAAAATCGATACTGGCTTCCTTGGCAAATTGTAAACCATGGGAAAGGGCCGGAAACCTGGCCGAAATTCTAACTCCTTAACGGCTGATCCAATTGTTCCGAAACCTTCACAGAACAATTTGCCGTGTCCTAACAAGCCATTCTATGTACTTTGCTGTCCAAATTTCCCTTATCTTCATACTTTTTAAGACCCAAACCTGATTGTAAATCTTTTTGAAACAGACTATAGCTCTTCTTTCATTCTCCTGGGTGGCTACCAACAGCCAGTGCATGCCGCAGTATGTGGTGTGGTCTGTGTGTGTGATAAAAATGAAAAAAAAAATGAAAACCAGGGATTCATTGGCCAGAAAAAGCCACTTCAACCAGGCGTGTGCTGTAGACCAGGCTAAAATTAGTGTCGGTCAATTCATCAGCCTTGCAAGCTGTTGAATCGTGTAATCCCAGCATAAGTTACTATGTCTAACATAGCTTGTTCGCTATCATCGCAGAGACAGAGACAAACAGAGAGAGACAGAGAGAGCTGGAAGCGATTGACTGGATGGAGATTGATATCTTGTTATTGTGGTTGTTGCTAGCGTGGTCATCACAATTGTCTAATGTGCCTTTGTTGTTGTCGCAGCTATAAGAAAACACAAAGCACCTTGTCCGAAGTCGGTACAAAGACGGGTGAATTGCTAAAGACGGCTGGTGCCAAGACATCAGATGCATTCAGCCAAGCTTCTCAGAACTTACAGTAAGCAATTGTCTATTTCTGCCCGTGTATCTATCTGCCTGTGTCTATCTCCTTCTGTCGGTCTGTCTCTCTCTCTCTCCCTCTCTCTCTCTCTCTCTCTCCTCTCTCTCTCTCTCTCTCTCTCTCTCTCTCTCTCTCTCTCTCTCTCTCTCTCTCTCTCCCTCTCTCTCTCTCCCTCTCCCTCTCTCTCTCTCTCTCTCTCTCTCTCTCTCTCTCTCTCTCTCTCTCTCTCTCTCTCTCTCTCTCTCTCTCTCTCTCTCTCTCTCTCTCTCCCATACAGTGGCGCTGGCAGTTTGCCTTGCTCGCATCAATAACGTGTTGACACTACTAAAGAGTAATCGATATAATCGTTTCAGCACTAGAACTTGCCACTGCTTGCTTTGTATTCTAATCAGTACATCACTTGCCTTGTGCTAACAGTTTGTGTGTGTGTGTGTGTGTGTGTGTGTGTGTGTGTGTGTGTGTGTGTGTGTGTGTGTTGTGCTGTCTTCCAGTGGAAGACAGTATGAATTTTTTGAGCTCCTGTTTCTGAATCTCCAAAGAGTTTATACCAGCCCTAGGGCGGCCCAAAGGCCGCCCTAGGAAGTTTCCCTAGTCCCCTACGTCGAGGTATAACAGTGTGGGCTTCAGGACGTGCGTTTGATGCCGTCACTCCACACTGTTCTCGTCGTAGAAGCCGCCGTCAGTTCTTGCCAAACGACGAACGGGAAAAATGTTGGCACGTAGAAACCGGAGAGGAGGAGAGAAGAAGTTGAGCATTGTGTCCTGGAATGTCCGCTCCTTGGTGGAGAGCGACGGCCCTGTCGAGACTGGAGCTGTTTCCCATCGTGTTGTGGAGGACAAGAAAATTCAAATTTGTCAACAGCAATTATTACGTTTGAGAGTTGATGTCGCTGGCCTACAGGAGACTCACTGGTTTGGCGAGGGTGTATATCCAGTCGAGGGAGCTGTTGTGCTGGCCTCAGGACGACCAGTCCCTCGCGATGACAATAATGCTGGCGAAATTTCTTTCCGTCGTGGCGAAGGTGTTTGTATTGTTTTGAACGGCGACGCGATCGAAGCGTGGCGTGCTGGCGGCTGTCAATGGACAGCCCACGGATCACGTTTGGTGTCAGCTCGACTACTATTTACTCTCCAGGGCGGTGACAGCGTCTGGGTGACAGTGATGAGTGCGTATGCTCCAACTTTCAGTAGCTCGAAGACCCTGAAGGAGTCCTTCTATGGCGCCCTTCAACAAGCTATCACTGGCGTCCCAGCAACTGAACAGTACATCCTACTGGGAGATTTCAACGCGCGTGTGGGTACACGTTTACATGCTGACGATGACTGGAGTTACGTGCGTGGCCCGTTTGGACATGGAGTGGCAAATTCTTCTGGACAGGAGCTGATGAGTTTCTTGCTCACAAATGAGGCAATGATTTGTAATACTTGGTTCCAGAAAGAATACGACACACGATGGACTTGGCAACACCCCCGCACCAAAACACAGCATTGCATTGACTACGTCATTATTCCAAGAAATCACTGGCAACGATGTTTGGACTCACAGGTTATACACAGTGCTGAGTGTGGTACGGACCACGCAATGGTCGCCATGCGCTACCGGATCGGTTTTATTCAAAGGCACCGTAGACCAACTAAACATGGAGTGCCGAGGTTTGATGTCTCCAAGTTCCGTGATACACTGGCTCGGGGAAGAAACGTAGACTGCGAGTTGATCCGGGAATATCAGACCAAGACGGAGACAGTATTGAATGGGAAGTTATCATCACCCATCACCACTACTGGGGAGCATTGGCATGTTCTCCGTGACACGCTTACTGAAGCGGCAGGGGATGTCCTCGGCCGTAGCAAACGCAGGCAACCAGACTGGTACGTGGACAGCCGGGAAATCATCCAACCTCTACTTGCCAGACGGAACGAGTTGTACTCCCGATGGATCAAGACTGGCCAGTCCAACAATCCAGTACTGGTAGAATTCCGGAGGGCTCGAGGAGAGGCCCGCGCCGCTGTGCGAAGGGCGAAAAATGACTGGTTCGTGGCCAAGGCAGCGGAGTTGGAACAGTCACGTTTCAGCTCAGCCCACGTATGGTCTTGTATTCACGATATGCAGGCCGCACGGCAAGGCTTGCGCAGTAAGGCAACTGTGCCTATACGTGATCTGAACAACAACATATGCAAGTCTCGAGCAGAGCAGGGTACGCAGTGGCGACGGCACTTTGCCAACATACTTAATGTCGCGTCCGTGTTTGACCCAGAGGAGATTGATCAGCTAGAGGCCAGGGATCCAGTCCCAGAGCTCGATGACCTGCCAACTGCTGAGGAGCTACAGCGAGCTATAAGCAAACTACGCAATGGAAAGGCGGCCGGTGAGTCAGGCATCCTACCGGAGATGATCAAGTACAGTGGCCAGAGGTTCAGTGAGTCTCTGTTGGAACTCCTCCATCGCGTCTGGAATGATGGCACAGTACCGCAGGAATGGGTCGACTGTAATCTTATACCCATTCCCAAGAAAGGCGACCTGAGTCGCTGCGATAATTGGCGAGGCATTTCCCTCTTGGATGTTGCCGGTAAAGTACTTGCCCGCATTGTGCAGACTCGCCTGCAATCTATGGCTGAGTCCTTCTTACCAGACACTCAGTGTGGTTTTCGACGAGGGCGATCCTGTACGGATATGATATTTGTGGTCCGCCAGATGGTGGAGAAGGCATTTGAACATCGAGGGAAAGCTTTCCTCCTGTTCATCGACCTCCGCAAGGCTTATGACTCTGTCAGTCGGGATTGCCTGTGGCGCGTACTGGAGAAAGCTGGTGTTCCTCCCCGTCTCCTATCCATTGTTCAGTCCTTCCACACCTCTATGCAGGCTACAATTTGCGTTGATGGTGATAGACTCGATCCATTTGCTGTGAGGAATGGCCTCCGTCAAGGTTGCTCCATGGCTCCCACATTATTTAACATCTTCATGTGGGCAGTCTTCCAACGGTGGTATGCCCGCGTCGCAGATATCCCCGGAGCTGGTGTTCCGATTCATACTAATGCAAGGCAACGTCTGTTCTTCCGACGACACCGCACAGACACTAGACGTTCCATCCTTGACTGCCAATTTGCAGATGACTCTGCCCTGATGGCCACGCGTCGGGAGGCAATAGAGACTTGCCTAACGGCATTTGTTGAGGTGGCAGGTGCATTCGGTCTCAAAGTTAACCTAGAGAAAACCAAGCTCATGGTCACCGGTCATCATGTTACTGAAGAGGATGTGCGCCCGCTGATGTTGAATGGCCATGCGGTGGAGGTGGTCTCTGAGTTTCGCTACCTCGGAACTAATATCCACGCTGATGGCCGCTGCTCCCGGGATATCGAGTCCAGGATAGCTGCTGCATCACGTGCCTTTGGCGTTCTGAGTCGCCCAGTGTTTCGGGATAACAATCTAACGCTGGCCACCAAGCGAACAGTGTTTGAGGCGTGTGTGCTGAGCTTGCTGCTGTATGCGTCTGAGTGCTGGGTACCACTCCAAGCCGATATTGCCAAGCTGTCATCTTTTTACATGAGATGCCTCCGCACCATCATGGGTGTGTCACGCTCTGACGTCTGGGACTTCCACATCAGCAACACCACCATCCTGGAGCAGTGGAATGATGCCAGACCCCTGCCCATCAAGGACCGGATTGTGCAACGCCGTTTGGAATGGTTTGGCCACGTTATGCGCATGGATATGGAACGGACACCCCGGGTTGTTCTGTTCGGCTGCCGACCGGAGACCCGACCTGCATGCGGCCCACGAAAGCGCTGGCGAGACGCTCTGAGTCCGGATCTACAGCGATGTGACGTACAGGACTCTTGGCCAGAAGATACCCAGTCACGACCAGGGTGGAGGAACATCTACCGTGAGCTGGAACCAGCTTCGTCACCAGTGCGTAATGTGCAATGTCTTGTCTGCCGACGCGTATTTAGCAGGCCTTCGGACAAGCGCCGTCACAAGTGCTTGGATGAAAGGGCCAAGCCCATAGCAGAGCAGCGCGGTGCAGTGCAATGTCCCCAATGTCAACGGTGGCTACGCAGCCGTGGTGGGCTATCGCGGCATAAATGCACACCCCATGATCCTCAGCCCCGTGAAGACCATCCCCAAGCTATTGCAAGGGACTGTTGCGCAGCTCACTGCCCCACATGTGACCGCTGTTTCGCCAGACCGTCTGACAGATCACGACACAAATGCCACCGTAGTACGCATCGCCCGACTGCAGCAACACGATTGACATTTGAATGGTCCTGCCCCGACTGTGGCCGCCGTTTTCGCCGCGGGAGCGACCTCACCCGACACAGATGCCGGCGACCTCCCTCCTCCCCGGTTCTCTCTTAAGGAGAGCCACGTGGCCCTTGTGGCAGTGCTGAACAGGAACAGGAACAGGTGTGTGTGTGTGTCGGTGTGTGTGTGTGTCGGTGTGTGTGTGTGTGTGTGTGTGTGTGTGTGTGTGTGTGTGTGTGTGTGTGTGTGTGTGTGTGTGTGTGTGTGTATGCATGTACATATTGTGTGTATGTGTGTTCATGTGTACATGTGGGTGTTCTTGTATATGTGTGTTTGCATGTGTGTGAGTCTGTGCGTGCATGTGTGCGTGCGTGTGTCCATGCGTATACATGTGTGTTGTGTGTTTCTTGTCGTGCCGCTCCATATTCCAGGGAGAGTGAAACGCTGAACGATATTGGAGCCAAGCTACGCTTAGCTTCGTCCAGGATTAAGGTGAGCGTTTGCCTGTGTGCCTGTACGTGACTGGCTGTTTGTCCATCTGCCTGGTTGTCTGCCCGCCTGGGCTGGGTCCACACCACAGACAGGCTTTTGGATCCACTTTGATTCAGATGCTGTATGTGTTTGAACTTGTTTGGGTGGTTTCCTGCCCGCTTGGTTGGCATATCCTGAGAGATCATCCTCCCGATGCTGACTGGACAAAGCGCTCCCGGCGGTTAGGAAGCCTGCGCTGCAGGTGATGGGAAAACTAAAGTCACACAAAGGGTCTACTCACCAGATACCATAACCTGGTGTAAGCGACCTCTGTGTTTAGCGACCACCTGCTCTTAACGACCGTCTTTCCATGCACCGACAGTTCTACACAGACACTGTGGGACCTGGTTCTAAAGACCGCCTGGCTTTAACGACCGCTTTTGCTTGCACCGTGGTACGGTGGGGTGGTACCGTGGTACGGTGGGGTGGTACCGTGGTACGGTGGGGTGGTACCGTGGTACGGTGGGGTGGTACCGTGGTACGGTGGGGTGGTACCGTAGTACGGTGGGGTGGTACCGTGGTACGGTGGGGTGGTACCGTGGTACGGTGGGGTGGTACCGTGGTACGGTGGGGTGGTACCGTGGTACGGTGGGGTTGTACCGTGGTACGGTGGGGTGGTCGCTTAAACCAGGTTTCACTGTACTTTGCTAAGTCGCGTTGGTCTGATTTGATCCAGAAGTCGTCGATTACCGCATTTTCGGGAGTAGATGCCGCAGCACTTGTAAAGTGTTATCACTCCTAATTAACCCCAACAAAGCCTGATATCGTTTGTTTGTTTTCTGACGTTTTCTGCTGGCTGAGCTCCTTGCTCTGTGTTTGGTCCGGAGACACCCCCTGATTTAGGTACCATTGCCTTTGGGTCATCCGTCATAATAATAATAATAATAATATCACGATGGTCAAATTAGCAGTGATTAACAGGGTAGATGCACGCATTTCATGACAAAAATCTGGGTGCGCCTCATATTCCAGGGCGGTTAACCCTTAAAGGGGAAGTATACCCTAAAATCAAATTTTCACCAGTTGTAGTCTTCGGGGTGCTGAGTCGAATGGTCTCGGTCCGAGCAAGCTGAGACGCTCCCTTCCTCCTTTATTCCCAATCGAACTCGCGCACTTCCACCGAAACTGGGTGACTGCGCCCTACTAGATAGGGATTTGTATGGAAAAAGTCACTAAAAACGCCGTTTCGTTCTTATTAAGGCGCGGATGACCGCGATTGGTCCATATGTTGTAGTCTTTTGGCCGCTGAGTCGACTGGTTTTGGTCCGAAAAGGCTGCGATGCAGCATTCAGCCCTTATTCCCAATCGAACACGGTTGAGTAAGCGGTCACGTGCTCATTTACAGCCTGTTTGGGCCCGTTTATGTCACTCGAGTTGAACCTTTGAACCAGGGAGTCGTAAAAGCCTCTTACGACTCCCTGCTTTGAACCTTTGAGTTGAATCTTGATGTGAAAGTTGTACTCTGCAGGCACAGTGACCAGGCGACTGGTGTACGCCTGAGCACGTGACCGCTCACTCCATCGTGTTCGATTGGGAATAAGGGCCGAACGCTGCATCGCAGCCTTTTCGGACCAAAACCAGTCGACTCAGCGGCCACAAGACTACAACATGTGGACCAATCGCCGTCATCCGTGCTTTTATAAGAACGAGACGGCGTTTTTAGTGACTTTTCCATACAAATCCCTATCTAGTAGGGCGCAATCACCCAGTTTCGGTGGAAGTGCGCGAGTTCGATTGGGAATAAAGGAGGAAGGGAGCGTCTCAGCGTCCTCGGACCAAGACCATTCGACTCAGCACCCCGAAGACTACAACTAGGGATTTCAGGCGGTTTTTTGTTGTCAACAGTGCATACTGCAATTATGGCTCAAATGAAAGATATGGATGTGATTATCAACCAGCCAAAAAATCAGAGCAATCGGCCAAGGGAAACCAGAGTTATGATCATTTGAATACGGGTGGGTACCCTTCATCGGCAAGTATACAATTAGGATGGGAAGCACGGCACAAAACGGGTTTCAAGAAGGCCATAGCAACACCCTAGCAACAGCCCAAAGTGCTCCAAATCGCACCAAACTTGGACAGCATGATTAGTGGAGCCCACCGGTATAAAATCACTGAATATTTTTTTGAATTTTTAAAAACTGAACAGAAATAACAACAATGGCGTCCATAGCAACGACCTTAGCAACAGGCTTAGAATCTATGAAACTGCTGCTCATTGTATCAAAATTCACCTGTTGGATAATTATGTACATACTGATATGGCATAGCATACATGTACCAATTAATGTTTGAACAAGAAACAGGACAATGAGCTTCCCGGCCGAAGTAAAAATATAGTATACATGTATCTACAAGTGACGCGCTCAGCAAAAGTGGTTGCGACTGGCCTCACAATTAATACGCGACATTGCAATGTTAACATGCCAGAAGGAGAGACAGAGGCTCAGCAGCAGCAACAACAGCAACAGCACTCTCACACACCATTTCAAGCATACATATAGACCTGTTCATCCATGAACACGCGCACCCACCACCAGTCCGTGCGCCAACACCCACCCACACGCACACGTGTGTGTGCGCGCGCGCGCGCACACACACACACACACACACACACACACACACACACACACACACACACACACACACTACTACTATAGCATGACTGCCCCATAGGGCCACGTCACTCCCTTGTGACAGGGAGCCAGAGTCAGGGTAAGAGAGTCCATGCTGGCGAGCCACATGCCGGTTGACATCTCGTTTTAGCCGAGAACGTTTAAAGCAACCAGAGGAGAGGAGGAGAGTCAATGCTAAAGGCCGATGTGTCAGGTTCGGCGCGTGGAACACACAACAGATTTCTGCAGTTTCCCTTTTTCTTGCTAATTCTTCTTCCAGATCAATGATTTTCTTTGACAGGCTTTCAACAGAATTTTTTTCAAATTTACTGGCATTTTCTTTTTGAATGTCACACGATTCAGTACCGACATTACGTGCTGGGATGACATCCAGTTCAGGCAGAACGAACGGCTGACAAAGCAGTTCGCTGATGGCGTCCTCGGCTTTGTCCTTCAGCAGCTTCTTCCGTCGGTATCTCACCCGCTTGACTTTCGTCCCAACTGCTTTCGCGTTCACTTTGTCTATTTCCTTGCCATCCACTGCTGACAACAGCAAAATCAGCGACTGCCAATTTATTTGCGTGTTTGTAGTCCACGACAGAAGTTCAAGGACGAGGCTGTTCGTCAGCTGGCCAGGACTATCCACTGCTACCCGCCCTGATGGCGAGTCAAGACGGAGCGCATTGCAACTGTTTACGCGTCAGAGACAGCTTCTTGCACAGAGGGCCAATCCAAGACTCGTCTTTCTCGCACGCCATGGCGTTCTACTAAATTTCGCGAACAACCGCGACTCGTCAGCAAGATACAAGGAACTGATCTAAACTAAATCGAGGGTGCAGAATCCGATTATCGATGTTGCGAGTGTGTGCAATGCTTGCATCATATCGAAAATCGACTTTGAAATCATTGAAAGACGCACGAATCCAGTCTTTTTTACGCCATTTCACCGAGATTGGTACCAAATGAAAGCTCAAAACCTCTACTCTCATGTAAACCCGTTCGATTTTGTCTCCAAGCGTCACTGCATCATCCAGTGACAGTTGAACGCCTCCGCAAAAATTGTGCCATGCGCAGATCCCCAAATCAATGCAGCTGCATGAAGGCTCTTTCGGGCCAAAAAGTCACGTGACTGAAATCCCTACTACAACTGGTGAAATTTTGATTTTAGGGTATACTTCCCCTTTAAGGTACGGATATATCCGTACCGATATGCAGAGTATACCGGGCGACTTCAAACTTCCGTAACTTCGCGAATTCTTGACCGAATCGCCTCATCGAAAGGTCTATCGGCATTAGAAGACTTGCAGCTGTCGTCTCGAAGAAACCCGAACGCGATCCTAGGTCCTGGAGTGGAGTTATGGCGCTCGACCGAAAAATCACGTCTCAAGCTGGGGTTTTTTTAGCGTGTAAAATGCACTTCAGCTGGGGATTTCCCATTTCGCACGTGCCTAGCCAGCCAGGTGCTATGACGCAGTCCGGCTATGGGCATCCCGACTTCTTTGCAATAAAGTTTGAGGGAATTGCATCGCGATGAGTATTTCGCTCGCAATCAGCATGACCCTGGCGCGTACGCTTGCTTCGCTTACTGTACATTTGCGTTGCTGCTTATCGTATTTACTGTGTGAAATGTACGTATTTACTGTGTGAAATGTACGTATTTACTGTGTGAAATGTACGTATTTACTGTGTGAAATGTACGTATTTACTGTGTGAAATGTACGTATTTACTGTGTGAAATGTACGTATTTACTGTGTGAAATGTACGTATTTACTGTGTGAAATGTACGTATTTACTGTGTGAAATGTACGTATTTACTGTGTGAAATGTACGTATTTACTGTGTGAAATGTACGTATTTACTGTGTGAAATGTACGTATTTACTATGTGAAATGTACTTCCTCCACGTCATTAAAATTGTCGCTTCCCAGAGCAATTTTTCAAATTTATTTTGTCCGCTCGAAGGCGTCCCTACATCCCCCATATATTTTGTCCTTTTTCTCGTTTCTTTTTGTTCTCCACTTGTTTTCCAGTAGAGCTGTGTTAATAGTAAATTAAAACATTAAAGGGCCAAGAAATCACGGTGAAAAAGAAGAAGGACAAAATGTTACGAGTTATGGCTAACTGTCCACCAACGAAACCAGATCTTATACAGTCAGCGATCCGAGTTGAATTTTGCAAAGAAATCAGCTAGAAATTGAGGCAGAGCATTATCGACGGACCAAGCTTTAGTTTGTGGCCTCCCGCTTCGCTGCACTTGCAGCTAAGGTCGACGTCTTCATCAGAGTTTGAGGCAGACCCTTCAGCATTCAAAAATACGCTGAACAAGACGCGCGTTCAAATTCAGGTCAAGAAACTTCGTTTGCAAGCGATCCATGCCTCCAGGTGGCAGGCGATGACGGCAAACTAGCATTTTTCAAGTACACTGTAACGACCTTCCAGCGGATAGGGTAAGCAGTTCCGCACCTTTGTTTTCAGACCTGCTACCTTCGCAGCAACATGGGCCACACTTAGCGCATTTTAGGAATTTGAGAACACTTTGTTTTTGCCGTCGTCAACTTCAGCATTTCGTATTCAGGAGGGAAACCAGGATTCTTATACCGAGCTTGCAGTCTTGATAAATGCGCACGCGAACGATGTGGGACGGCACAAACTCTAGAAAAACGATATGCGCTATGGGCGGAATATTGCGGAGCGCGATGAATTTTTTTGATGCAGAAGAGAGCTCCGACAAAGTCCCAGACCACCAAGACTTCAGTAACAAGTAGACATTGCGCAGGAAGGGTCGCACCAATGTTCGAACACAGAAAAAGCGATTCCGACAGTCTGACTAAGACGAGCAAGTCACAAACATTGCGATGTGCGAAGCGACAATTGTAATAACGTTGAGGAAATGTTCCTTATGGATAGCGCTTTCCAGGAAGCCCAGGATTGTGAGAATTGACCTAGAAATGATGCAGTTATTCAACTTATTGTCGGAGAAATATGAGCAAGAATGGCGATTTCGCGTTTTCTGAAAATAGTTCTAGGGCTGAAAGGGTTGATACTTGGGAAATACAGTGGCGACGACACCTGACATCACCACGTTCATACCCGATGGTACTAATTGACTGTAGCAGCCTGGTGAGTTTCTGCTCATTTGTCATCCAATGTCCAAACGCTCTAACGAATCTGTGTCTGTGTTTGTTTGCATTTTTGAACAGAGCTCTTTCAGCAAAGAATCACCTGAGTCCCCATCTGTATCTACTCCTGGTATTGTTGAGGATGTGACAGAACCCACGGCTACTGATTAACAAGTTACATTCTCTCTCTCTCTCTCTCTCTCTCTCTCTCTCTCTCTCTCTCTCTCTCTCTCTCTCTCTCTCTCTCTCTCTCTCTCTCTCTCTCTCTCAGGCTATTGTATTTGTCTTCTGTTTTGTCTGACGTGCTTGCGGCTGCGTGCACACACGTCTATGTGAGCGCTACTTAGTGCATGCTCTCCGCTTTGCACGCACGCACACACACACACACACACACACACACACACACACTCCTAGCTACACTGCCCCATTCTCCACACCGTACGGATATCTTCGTTATCAAGTGCTCCGCGGCACCGTGAAACGCCTGCCGGTATTCTTTGCCCCCCCCCCCCCATACAATATAGTGAGTGATTATTCAAACGTGCAGTTGTCTTCCTGCCCTCCCCAGAATATGCATTCATTCATTTAGGGTATTTATTGGAAAGGGTGATTTCCGAGTCTGTTTTGCGAATGGCCGCAATGCCGGGTTTGCCCACCTTCTATCTCGAATTTATTATCATTTTGGATTTGTCAGGCACATCTCGTTTGCGTGTCAAGCGCAGAGTGGAGTACTATTTTCTAGCCTGGAGCAGTTCTGTACCAGTATGATTTTTTTTCATCAAATAATTGAACATTGAGTTATTTACAATATGGGAATAGGAAAGCAATCGAGCCCACTTCACTTGGCGAATGCCGTCAAGTCCTTCTTATTCTTTATTTTTTCCTTCATTTTGAATACTTTCCAATATGATCATGGTTCAAGCTAGAGCCTGCAGCAGGAGTAGTAAAAGTAGATATTTTACTACTCCCTGGCCTGCACTAACCGGACTCACGGGTTTGCATCTGCCTATGTGTGTGGTGGGGGTGGGGGGCGTGTGTGCGCCCAGCACAAGTTGCTATGCCTACAGTCCATTTCAAAACTATAGACGCGTAGGGTTTTTGAAATATTTCAAATTTGGCTGGACCTTTTTGAGAATAGTTTTCGGAATATTGCTCAGGACCGCTCCACAATTACTCTCATAATTATAGTTTCTAAACAATTGGACAACAGACGCCCAATTTGGAAAAAATTATGCACAAAGTGATCACAGATTTTATGTGGTATAGATGCTGGCATAACGGTTTTTGCCTAGGTACGCGTCTTTAGTTTTGAAATGGACTGTAGCATAGCTGTTCGCTATCCGATGATGGGCAGGTCTGGACTGTAGCATAGCTGTTCGCTATCCGATGATGGGCAGGTCTGAGGTGTGCATGTGTGTGCGCACAGTAGAATCGCGGGGCCCAGAAAGTCGTTTCCAAGAGGCAAACGCGGGGCGTGCTGGGACGTTCTTGTCTTGGAGCGATCTGACTGCATTAGCACATTCATGTAGAGACAATTTGTACCAAAAAACTATGTTTCTATTCTAGGCCACCTCTCTCTCTCTCTCGCGCTCTCTCTTGTACAGTAGGTATCGGTTATAGCGTGGGTGTTTGAAAAACGACTTTCTATTCTTATTTCCGGTATTTCTTGCACACGATCAATCAAGTGTGACATATTATCATAAATGCATGTCCGCAGAGGCAGGAAGGTCATCGTACATGTACATGCAACGTAGTGCTACTGTGCATGCGACTGGTCATAGATGTAGTTCTATGTGGCTATGCAACGTGACATTCATTACCACAACAGTTGAACCTGCAGCACTACAACGTAACGCGAGTCAGATGAGAAATTCAGAACTGCATCGGACGGATATTGAGATAGTTTTCCTCATTGATCTGATCATAATATCAAAAGTAGATAAACTATAGTGTGCAACTCCGGATCTCTTCTGCACAATCTGCAGATATCCCCGCCCGCGGCGGATTTTTTTGTTGACGTCGCCTTTTTCAGAAAAAACGCGCATTTTGTCCCAGAGCATGCCGTGTGAGAGCACGTGCTGGGCACCGACTTCAAAGCCCGGCCACGTGCACGAGGCAACATTTTCCAAAAGACTTGCAGCGCGTGCATCGTCGAAAAGATTACGTCAACAAAAAGTTCCGCCGCGGGCCAACCCATCCCGGAGTTGCACACTCTTGTTTATCTACTCTTGATGTTATATTACTACAGGCGGTACACTTTGTACTAATCTGGCATGTTTCGCTACACAAAGTCCATTCTTAGGACCGATATACTAATATTCTACTATGCGATAAAATTGCTTGTAAGAATAAAATTTAATGTGCATTTGAAACCCATGGTGTGATTATGAAAACATGAGAGTTCATTCTTGTAGGCAGTATCTTCTTTTACACGACCACGCTATAACCGATACCAAGAGTACATAAACCTGGTGTATGTACTCTTGCCGATACGCACTGAAGAGGCCAACCACCTCGGGGCCCATGAGGATAATAAGCACGCGGTTGCTGTTGGGTCTGCAACTGCTGAGGACAGCATGTTATGTTCGGCTACAGCTTGTAGCAAGGACACGTGCTGTAAGCTCTAAACACTAGAGTCTAGCAGGGAGTCGTAAAATACCGGTATTTTACGACTCCCTGGAGTCTAGTATACACTAAAAAAAAAAAAAAAAGTAAGTTGTACCCTGCAAAAAAAAAAAAAAAAAAAAAGTATACAACTCAGGATACTGGAAACCCGGAAACTTTTGCGATCCTGAAAAGTTTGCGATTTAAGTGGGCGCGAAACTGTAGACTCGAGTCAATCATCAAATGGACTCCAGTCGACCGGAAACGTTTGCAGGCGCAAAATGGTCTATCATTGCAATACGCGGACTAAAATGGGCACAAACGATTCCGGGATTACAGTACCCTTTCTATGGGTTCAGCCAACGGCAAAAACTCACATCACAGTCATGGTGTAGAGTTCCTGTTGTGCATTTCCAGCCCGGTTTAGCCAGCGACGAGTAATAACCCGGTTTAGCCAGCGACGAGTAATAACCCGGTTTAGCCAGCGACGAGTAATAGCCCGGTTTAGCCAGCGACGAGTAATAACCCGGTTTAGCCAGCGACGAGTAATAAAAATAGCACTCCCTAATAGAAACTCACTCAGCTTGTACAAAATAAATATCGGTATTTGCGGAAGGCCCCTAAGCTCCCAAGAATGTGCAATTTTGGATACCCTTCCTATGCATTACGTCGTGGTGTAGTGTTCCCGTTGCTTACTCCCAGCCTGGTTTAGCAACCGATGGAGTTGAAAGAAAGAAAAGTACATGTAGACCTGTCTGACAGAAATCCACTCAGCTTATCGCGGCGAATGATCAGTATGCGCATGATGCTTGATCATGGCAGATACCAGTATGCGGACCGTATAGTGCACACACACACGTCAGCCTTTCTTGTAGCCGGTACATACTAATAGTAGTCAAAGTCATACTTTGAATATGTGGCTGGTGTGAGTTTCCGCCGCCGGAGACACTGTATTCAGAAAAGCACACTATTGGGAGCTTCTAATACTCTTGCTTGTTGATAGTCATCCGTCTTAATTTTAGCGACAGCGACTGTGACACACACTTGTACCAAGAGTACGTAACCATGGTAACCCCCGGAGTGGATCTGATAACTATGCTTGTCTAGCACCATTTATTACACTGGCGTTAATCTAGCCAGAAGTAGTCCATGGTTGACAGGTATGTATACTTCAAATAGAAAGTATACGAACCCTGGAACCAACAAAGGTGGCAGGTACAACATTACACCTTTAAGTAGCTGAGCATGCTGGCAACAGACCCAACACAATCCGGCATAAGTGTACCCACCAACCGCAGTACTAGCTGACACACACAGACACAGACACACACACATGCCCATCGCTGATATCGAACAAGCTATGTTAGACATAGCAACTTGTGCTGGGATAACACCATTCAACAGAACAAGCTATGTTAGACATAGCAACTTGTGCTGGGATTACACCATTCAACAGAACAAGCTATGTTAGACATAGCAACTTGTGCTGGGATTACACCATTCAACAGAACAAGCTATGTTAGACATAGCAACTTGTGCTGGGATTACACCATTCAACAGTTTGCGAGGCTGATGAATTGACAACCACTAATTTTGGCCTGGACACACACACACACACACACGCACGCACACACACACACACACACACACACACACACTGTATGGCATCGCCGGTGAGTTTATCGCGGGTATATCCGTAACCTAATATTCGGAGCAGAAAGGTTCGACAAGCAAAACGAAAACAAGCTAAGACGACTACAAAGGATATTTACGCTCTCCACAAAAGGCAAGAGAAATAGGGCGAACCGAAAACAGAGTACACGATGACACCGTTTTCAAACACGGTCGAAACACCTGGAGCAGTGTCAAGGACTCAAGTCAAGAAAGATAGTGGGAACGGCACCGGCTACACGCATCCACAATAGAAAATATGTCTAGGGACGAGAAACCAGCCGCACAGTCACAGACGTGTCGGACGCTTACGCCGGGGGCGAAAATAAATTACACAATCGCTTGTGAAGCAGAACAAGCTGCATCTGTCCTAGAAAGAAAGAAAGAATGCATAACAATAATGCTTCATAAACAAAACAGACCTAAAATAGCGGGAAAAGATGGAGGATTGTAGCCATGGTGATGTGACACATTAAAGGTTTATGCTCGGTCACCGTGGCAACCTCACAGACTGATGGGCGTTTAGCCCTTGTTACCATGGTAATAAACTGAAGGTTAAGCCCTTAACTTACACACAGTAAATGTACATGCCTGATCAAGAGCATGGGGTCACGCGGAAGAGGATCGGCGATTGGACACTCCGAAAATAAATACTTCAACTGAATATTAATTGTATGAAAGAGACATACGCAGGTTGTTGATGATCAAGGGGATCTTGTCGAACAGTCGGAAAGGGATCTTGTTGGAAAGAGGCAGTTGTGTGTCTTGGCATACAATTAGAAGTTCTAGAGGTAAGAGGACATTTTAGAATTCAAGTTGCCATCTAATGCACTAAAAACTATTGGGTTAGCATACCATACTTGAACCAACGATAGGAACATTGCTCAATACTATACTGGATGGGTCAAAACAAGAAAAAGAACACACACACACACACACACACACACACACACACACACACAGGCACTGCACAAGAACACCGTCTCGATTGACACACAAGCACCGGGCCAGCTCAGAGGGCGAGGGTACACAGCGCTGTGTGTGCTACGCTACACACGTAGCGTGCACAGACTTACGTAAACCCGGCGCTGCACATGATCCGAGTCAGTCGTAGAGCTTGAAGAAAACATGGGACATGCGCTTAGACCAACACTAGGTGGGTCATGTGACCTGCTACACTAGGCGGGTCATGTGATCTGCAACACTAGGCGGGTCATGTGACCTGCAGTACTAGGTGGGTCATGTGACCTGCAACACTAGGCAGGTCATGTGATCTGCAACACTAGGTGGGTGGGTCATGTGATCACCTACACATACACTAGAACTAGTAGTAGGTCAGAGAAGCTTGGCGAGAAACTCAATCACATTCTCGTAGACAGTCCAGGAGAGAGCAATAACACACGACCGACGGGCAATGCGGGCCTGAGCACCGCGGAAGAACGTAAGGCTGCCCTCGTCCTGCACACACACACACACACACACACACACACACACACACACACACACACACACACACACACACAGAATACGGACACATGGACACACAGGCACGTACACGGACATGGACACAGACACGGACACAAACACGGACACAGACATGGACAAGCACACAGACATGCACACAGACATGGACAAGCACACAAACATGGATGCATACAAGCACACAGACATGGACATGGACACAGACGTGGACAAGCACACAGACAAGGACGCACACAAGCAAACAGACATGGACATGGACAAGCACACAGACATGGACAGGAAACAAGGAGAGAAACAGCATGACTGTGTGTGATTCTTGAGAGACACTGACGCATAGCATGTCAAGACTAAAGGGTTCCCTTACAATTGGTCCACACACCCCACTCCCCTCCACCCACAAGCATTCCCTTAAACACACACGCACGCACACACACACACACACACACACGCACGAGCACAGACACACAGACACACACACACAAAAACGCACATACACACAAAACGCACACACACACACGCACACATACAAAGCAATATGGGTATCTCACCTGGAGCATTTTGCGCGCCATGCGCAAAGTTCCCTCGCTGTGATTCTTGTCGATTTGCATATGTGTTTTGACAACATCAACAGGGTGGGTCAGGAGACAAGCCATCACAGCAGAGTAGATAGCTAACAACAACAACAACAACGACGATGACAACAACAACAACAGCAGCAGCAGCAGCAGCACCAGCAGCAACAAGTACAAGAACAACAAATACAAGAATCACCACCACCACGACGACAACAGAGAGAGAGAGAGAGAGCGTCTAGTATGTAGTAGGGAATTCTTAGACAAAACACACACCCAAAGACCAGGGGAAAAGAGACATTCCACCTGTTCTGACCGTTAGAACGAAGGAAAAGAACGAAGAGCAAAGAAAGAATGTCAAAAAATTGCAGGCACACACGGACACAACACTGAAAGGAACAAGTTAATTGGATATGTACACAGCTTTGGCTCATGAAATGAAAACAAAGGTTTAACTTATGAAACTAACCACAGCAGAGGTTGACACTTCTTCTATTGTTCTCATCTGAAACTGCAAACAAAAAACAGAAAGGAAGCAGACAAAGGAGAGATTCCATTGACAACTATGAGAAGAAAGCTTTCTGGAACCCTTCAATCGTTGCTCTGATTGTGATACGAGTGAACATAGTCCTATTCATAGCTTTACAAAAAATACAGAGAGAGAGAGAGAGAGAGAGAGAGAGAGAGAGAGAGAGAGAGAGAGAGAGAGAGAGAGAGAGAGAGAGAGAGAGAGAGAGAGAGAGAGAGAGAGAGAGAGAGAGAGAGAGAGAGAGAGAGAGAGAGAGAGAGAGAGAGAGAGAGAGAGAGAGAGAGAGAGAGAGAGAGACAGAGAGGGAGAGAGAGAGAGAGAGACAGAGAGAGAGACAGAGACAGAGAGGGGGAAATCAGTTTGTGAAAATGTCTACTGCATCGAAATAATTGGTGCAGTATGAGCAGCAACACATTGCGAATAACAACGCATAACAGCGCATAACAAACATACAGCCGCATAACAAACATACAGCCACACAACAGACATACAGCCGCACAACAAACATACAGCCACACAACAAACATACAGCCACACAACAAACATACAGCCACACAACAAACATACAGCCACACAACAAACACACAGCCACACAACAAACACACAGCCACACAACAGCACACAAACGCCCACAGGTTGCCCTGTGGAAGGAGCGACAAATTCATCAACATTTCCCCCCGTATCCTCAGGAGAGAGAACGTTTTCTCCGTCTCTCTTTCCGTGTAATGAGCCTCCAAATAATGTAGTCGGTAACTCAGAAGTACATCTCCACCGTACTAGGCCCCCAGATTTTAATAATCGCACCCCTTTTGCACTGATTGCTGTGGGAGATGTTGGTGCTGTAGGCAGACTTTTCCATGGTACTAGACCGCCTGAGGATAATTTTCACCCCAGTGCCCCCTTGTGTTACAATATCCATTCTGACCATGCTGCCAAGTGTTTGCAGGTGGTTACAAACGCCCATTGTAAACTAAGCTTCCTTATGCTTCGTATCCACTCCTCCAGAATTAGCAATCTCCTGTCCAAGCGCCTATGTCACCCAGACTGAAGGCGTCACTCGGACCAATGATCCAAATGCGTATGTTGTCCCTGCCACCAGGCGAGCCTCTGGTGACTGTCGGCCGCTCGTTTCTGCTGTTAGATTATGGAACGCCCTGCCACATAACAGCACATAACAAACATACAGCCACACAACAAACATACAGCCACAAAACAAACATACAGCCACACAACAAACATACAGCCATATAAAAAACAAACAGCCATATAACAAACATACAGCCATAATTATAACAAACATACAGCCCTATAACAAACAAACATCCACATAACAAACATACAGCCACATAACAAACATACAGCCACAAAACAAACATACAGCCACACAACAAACATACAGCCACACAACAAACAGTGCAAGGCTCATACAGATCGGAGAAACGAGACAAGAGCAACGTGGACAAGAGCAACGTGGGCAAGAGCAACGTGGACAAGAGCAACGTGACCAAGAGCAACGTGGACAGGAGCAACGTGGACAGGAGCAACGTGGACAGGAGCAACGTGGACAAGAGCAACGTGGACAAGAGCAACGTGGACAAGAGCAACGAGACAAGAGCAACGAGACATGAGCAACGTGGACAAGAGCAACTTGGTCAAGAGCAACGTGGACAAGAGCAACGTGGACAAGAGCAACGTGGACAAGAGCAACGTGGACAAGAGCAACGTGGACAAGAGCAACGAGACAAGAGCAACGTGGACAAGAGCAACATGGACAAGAGCAACGTGGACAAGAGCAACGTGGTCAAGAGCAACGTGGTCAAGAGCAACGTGGTCAAGAGCAACGTGGACAAAAGCAACGTGACCAAGAGCAACGTGGACAGGAGCAACGTGGACAGGAGCAACGTGGACAGGAGCAACGTGGACAGGAGCAACGTAGACAAGAGCAACGTGGTCAAGAGCAACGTGGACAAGAGCAACGTGGACAAGAGCAACGTGGACAAGAGCAACGAGACAAGAGCAACAAGACATGAGCAACGTGGACAAGAGCAACGTGGTCAAGAGCAACGTGGACAAGAGCAACGTGGACAAGAGCAACGTGGACAAGAGCAACGTGGACAAGAGCAACGTGGACAAGAGCAACGTGGACAAGAGCAACGAGACAAGAGCAACGTGGACAAGAGCAACGTGGACAAGAGCAACGTGGACAAGAGCAACGTGGTCAAGAGCAACGTGGTCAAGAGCAACGTGGTCAAGAGCAACGTGGTCAAGAGCAACGTGGTCAAGAGCAACGAGACAAGAGCAACGTGGTCAAGAGCAACGTGGTCAAGAGCAACGTGGACAAGAGCAACGTGGACAAGAGCAACGTGGACAAGAGCAACGTGGTCAAGAGCAACGAGACAAGAGCAACGTGGTCAAGAGCAACGTGGACAAGAGCAACGTGGACAAGAGCAACGTGGACAAGAGCAACGTGGTCGCTTACAGTTTTTGTGAGCATAGCGCTTGGACGCCGTGTAAAACATGTAGTAGAGAGATGATGATGGGACGTCTCGCAGGAGTGTAGCAAACATGCCACAGTACAGACCTCGCACACCCTCTCTCTTGTACATAGAGCAGAGTGCATGGAAAACACTGCGATACTCGTACCGACCACTCTACAAGATAACAAGACGGGGTGGAGAGAGAGAGAGAGAGCAGCTTCAGCATCATCCGAACACGCATAGTATTCCATACCATAGACCTCTTGTTCTAGCCCGCCACAAATACAAGCCCCTCCCCTCCCCCGGTACACAAGGCTTAGCCTTGCAATGTCTAGACATGTACAATCAGACCTCGCCTATCCGGTCATCTTTTATCTGGATCCCTCGCCATTCGGAAGGAAACCGCTGGTTCCCGATTAACAGCATATGTTACGCATACAACATAACCGGATCTCGCGGATGTTTGCGGTTTTAAGCGAGGTCTGACTGTAGTTCAAGATACTAGGTAACAACAGCAGCACACATACATACATGTATATAGGAAACACACAAGAACATAAAGTCACATACGGCATAACACCGGGCACGCATACACACACACACGCGCGCGCAGGCGCACACACCTCAGACCTGCCCATCGCGGAAGCGATGATAGCGAACAGCTATGTTAGACATAGCAACTTGTGCTGGGATTGCACCATTCAACAGCTTGCAAGGCTGATGAATTGACCGCCACTATTTTTAGCCTGGTATCCACCACACAAGCTGATTGAAGTGACTTTTTTCTGGCCAGTGAATCCCTATTTTTCATTTTTTTTCGACACACACCACATACTCCGGCATACACTGGCTGTTGGTAACCACCCAGGAGAATGAAAGAGGAGCTAGGAGAATGAGAAAGAGAAGAAAGACGTGTGCGACCATAATCGTCGGGAATTGAACCCGCAACCTCTCGATTGGAAATCGACTGCACATACCACTGCACCATATGACACACACACACACACACACACACACACACACACCTTGGACCTTGGACGCGCTGCCATATTCTGGCTATGCGGACCCCATGGGGGGTTGAGCAGGTTCGGAACAGTAGGGGCGATGACGGGATAGGTCCTGTGGTCTACTGAATCGCCGACCGCAATTGCAAACGATGCAGAAGGAGCTACGGTCTGTGTTGGTTGCTCTGGCCGAGCCACGGCTGCACTTGTGACGTTTCATGCCTTGGCGCGATAGCACACAGCGGTTGCAGCGGGCGCAGTGGAAGCTGCAGCGTTCGCAGGACATATTGTTTGTAACCGGTGACTCAAGTGTGTCAGAAGATGCCTCTGCTGGTGATGTTGCTGGCGAGCACTTGTGTCGGGCAAATCCACCCTTGCTCCGGAACCATCTGTCGCACTGATCGCAGTGACAGCTTCCTGGCTGTTGGCTTACGGGTAGGGCACGCGTAGCTGTACACTTGTGTCGCTTCCTGTCACTTACACGACTGAAGGAGCGGTGACAAGTTTGGCACACAACCGGTGATGGTCGAGGTCTGTTCTGCTTGTCTGGCAGACAACGGTAAGCCTGGCGCCATTTGGAGCGAGAAGAGGTGGCCACTTCATACCAGTCGTCAAGTGGTTTGACGTCACTCCGAACACAGTCTCGCCACCTTTTCCGCGGACCATGGGCAGGTCTCTTGTTTGGAAACGAACCGAACAGTAGAGCCTTCGGGATGCGCTCATCCTCCATCCTTGCCACATGACCAAGCCACTCAAGGCGACGTCTGCTGAGACGACACTCCATGTCCAAGGTATCTCCCCAGCGCTCCAGAACTTCAACATTAGTTATCCTGTCATTCCATACATCTTGACGACTGATGCCCAGAATGGTGCGGACACAACGGAGATGAAAGACAGACAACGCATGAACATCAGCCTGTAGCGGTACCCAGCATTCGGACCCATAGAGCAGAGTCGACAGCACACAAGCATTGTACACTGACCGTTTGATGGATATTGTCAGTGACACACACACACACACACACACACCTTTGGAAAGCCCATCGCCGAAGGCGATGATAGCTATTAGGCGAGGCAGTAGTTCTTGTGTCGGGATAAACCATTTGGACGGCGAAAGTCGCGGCCGCAGACACAGACGAACACTCTTGGTTGCGGCTGACTTGGTGGCTTCCGACGGCTACGCTCGCGCCAGTCCCGTCCTGGGCAAGGTGGTACCATTGAGCCTCCAGGATACCGGTCGCACGCAGGTCTGAAGCTGGCACATCTCTCCAACGACGATTGGGTCCATGGCAGGCCGCGTGTTAGTGCCCTCCGCAAACAGGATCTGCTTTGGAAACCTGGTGTCGTCCATCCTTGCGAGGAGACAAAGCCATCGCAGGCGATTTGCACGAAACACACACACACACACACCTTTGACCTTTGACCTTTGACGCCCATCGCCGGAGGCGATGATAGCAATGCTACGGCAGAAGCCATAGCAACTTGTGCCGGGATTGCACCATTCAACAGCTTGCAAGGCTGAAGAATTGACCGTCACTATTCAGCCTGGTCTACACCATACAGCTATTTTGAAGTGGTTTTTCTGGCCAGTGAATCCCTATTTTTGGTCTTTTCATTTTCATTTTTTTTTTCTTTTTTTCCCGCACACAACATCACACCACATACTCCGGCATGCACTGGCTGTTGGTAACCACCCAGGAGAATGAAAGAAAAGTCAGGAAGAGTCTGAGAAAGAGAAAGAAAGACGTGTGTGACCATAATCGTCGGGAATCGAACCCGCAACCTATCGATTGGAAATCGCTGCACATACCACTGCACCATATGGACACACACACACACACACACACACACACACACACACACACACACACACACACACACACACACACACCATATCCGTGCGCGCACACACACACACACACACACACGTGCACACACACACACCTACCTCGAAACCGGGTCTTGACGACAGTGAACGGTAGTAGAGTAGCACAGGTCACGGAGCGTGCAGCTCCAGCACAAAGAGCTGCACAGCCCGGACTGGGGTCATGATCTCCAGACAGTACAAACTGTTGAAGAGTGTGCAACACACCAAAGTACAGCCCAACTCCGGGAACCGTTCGTGTTAACGACTGCACATAGCATATACACAGGACAATAAGAAAACATCCGTTAAGAGAGAAAGAGAGGAAGAGAGAGAGAGAGAGAGAGAGAGAGAGAGGAGAGAGAGAGAGAGAGAGAGAGAGAGAGAGAGAGAGAGTAAGAGAGAGAGAAAGAGAGAGAGAGAGAGAGAGAGAGAGAGAGAGAGAGAGAGAGAGAGAGAGAGAGAGAAAGAGAGAAAGAGAGAGAGAGAGAGAGAGAGAGAGAGAGAGAGAGAGAGAGAGAGGGAGAAAAAAGAGAGAGCGAGAGAGAGAGAGAGAGAGAGAGAGAGAGAGAGAGAGAGAGAGAGAGAGAGAGAGAGAGAGAGAGAGAGAGAGAGAGAGAGAGAGAGAGAGAGAGAGCGAGAGAGAGAGTGAGTGAACATAATATACCAATAATGACAGTGGGATTTTCCGCATCCGTCCTCCCGGACGCCCTCAAGTCCAAGTATATGTAAAGCAAAGGTGTGAGAACGAATTAGTGCAATATTGAAATTCAAGAGACTTCCAAGCGGCATCCTATCCTTCGGCATGCAGAAGATCACAAGGTATAAATTCAAAAGAACTAAGTTTCGAAAGGTAACACTGGGAGGCGCAGAATTGTCAGAATCAACGTTGTCCTCCCTGGGCGATGTTGACCATGAAATTAGATTCTGGAGATGAACGGAGATTCACCTCAACAGATTTCATCTGTTATAGGCCATTCACCCGACATGCAAACCCTTGCAAGCGTGTGACCAAGATAACACTGGCAAACCGTGATCCAGTTCACACGGTGCTGGGCAAACTTTGCACACGTCAATGTATCCATAGTGACCTCCTGAAAATGCCCGGAAACTTTTAAATTTTGAATTTTCACTGCATTTGCAGTACGCACTTTCAACAAAAGACACTTTTGCTGGTGTGCAAAGTATAATCACGAGCATGAGGGCCCCGGCCAAGTTCAAAAATCAGTTGCACGCGTGTGTCCAAGTTTATCGTATGCGCCTAAATATCCTTGGGAACGGTACGATAAAAGTGAGTTTGCACGTCGTGCGAATGACCTATTATGGACGGATTTTACCGGACAAAATTCCTTTCTACAGTGTTGAAGCAGAGTATCGGCAGGAGAACATAAGGCTGTGTTTACATGAGAATTTTCAAGCCGGGTTGAAGACTGTACGCTGGAAGGAATAGGTGGGTGGTGCATGACCAGAGTGACCCGGGTGAATTACTGATATGGCCACAAAAAGTCCACATCCTGAGTTCTGTATGGTCACGTGAATGCTTTTGCTCGAAATGTGGGTGTGGAGTGCCGAGCTGTGAAAACCATTTCAGAATGTTGTTGAAAACCTAAATTGTTTGGTCCTACAAAGACCCATTCTATCTCCAAGGAAACAATATGTAGAAGAAACAGTAGAACTAACTGGTGTTAATCCTTTCCAGAGAGCGCCGATGTTTTCATTCCGAACTACGTCCAACATGACCCGTATTGTCCCAGTGGGGGCTGGTCGGTGTAGAGTGTTCGTACGAGAACTGAGCGTGCCGCTGCTACTGCCTGCTGAAGGTGGTGTTGATGATGATGATGCGGAGGATGTGCCACTGCTGACAAAAGCACCGGAAACACATACAAACACACACAGACACACATATGCATATGCACAACGGACACACATATGCATATGCACACACAGACACACATATGCATATGCACACACAGACACACATATGCATATGCACACACACACACACACACGGACACACCCACCCACCCACCAACACAGACATATACAGACACATGCACACACGCACACATACGAGCACACACAGACATAGACAGACACACACAATCATATGCACACCCACAGCAACAGCACAACCAAGTATTCTTTGCTGTTTTGCGGGGGGGGGCTTTATATTGTACATAGCATACGGCACACAACAACCTAACATCATGTTGACTTCTGATATAATCAAGAGTAAAGAACCTCCCAAGACTGTGCAACTCTCCATACAGAGTCTCCGACGGCGAAAACTCACATCACGTGTTCAAAGTACGATTTGTACTTTGTGCAGAAAAAGGCTAGCGTGCGTGCAATCCGATTATATGCCATGATTATGCTGATGTTTCGCAAAAACTGAGTGGGTTTCTATCAGAGAGTGTTATTTGTTTAACTCCATTGGTTGTTGAAATGGGCTGGGTGTGTACAGCAGGGACGCGACACCACGTGATGTGAGTTTTCACCGTTGGCGAATCCCATAGCAAGGCTATCCAGAGAGGCACACTCTTGGTAGCTGATGCTCTGTCGTGGACATGGAAATCCGTTGAGTAGTCAAGCGGCCATGGGGTGCTGGCCTTGCAGCCGCGAGCACTATTGGTCCTTGTGTGTTACAGTGTGTACATGAATTACAGCGTGTGTACGCGCCAAGGTAGAAAGGGTGCCGCTCCGGTCATTCCACTGGTCCTCAATGTCCACTGGTCCTCAATGTGCACTGGTCCTCAATGTCCACACAAGTACTAGTCATCATAGTACAATGAATAGCAATCAGGCAATCACCAAATGCACTGGGTGTTGATCAGGGTGTCTATATGGGTGTCTATATGGGTATTTATATGGGTGTTTTTGAATTCTTTATTCTCACGATGGCACCATCGCCAAAAAGAGATAAGTTTATGAGAATGTGTTGATCAGGGTGATAATCAGGGTGCTGATCGGGGTGTTGATCACGGTTTTTATCTGGGTGTTTATCAGGGTGTTTAATCA